CGGTTCGGGCCCGGTCCGGGCCGGATTTTAATTTTTTTTTTTTTGAATTTTTTTTAAGTTTTAGGTTGGATTAGGTATTTTGGGCCATTTGAGGTGGTTTGGGATGGTTTGGGGTTGAGGGGGAGGGGTAGGGGATTAAATAGGAGAACAAAAAAAAAAAAAAATTTATTGGGCCGGTTCGGCCCGGCCCGGCCCGGCCCGGTTTGGCCCGGAACCGGGACCGGAACCGGCCACCGGCGGTTCGGGCTCGGGCCTCCCTTTCCTGGCCCGAGGCCCGGCCGAGCCCGAACCGGCCCGAGTCCAGGCATACATAAATATGACCAAAATAAAGATAGTTTACAAAAATATGATTCATTACTAGAGTAGTAATGAAATCATAATAATTCATGTTCAAGTTTTGAACTTTAGTTACCACAGCACTACGTTGTAGTAATGAATGTCATATTTATGAGGAAGATGCTCAAAAAATTTCATCAAAAAATTCCATCGGGAACCACCCCAAATGGCGTCGGCCGGACAGAGCATCCTAAATATGACCTTATTTGACATTTTTTTTCGAGTTCGAGGCCCTATCTGACCCTTATCCCTATTTATGTAAATAAGTTTTATTTTAGTAATATTCTCGCAAAAACCCCAAAAGTTTAACAAATCGTACTCCCTTCGTATTTAATAGTTCCCTACACTTTTTTTTTGGGATGTATTTAAAAGTTTTCTACATTTTTTCTTTTTGGTAAGTTTTTCTTTTAAAAATACTCAATTACCCTTACTTTTTCTACTTGTTAACCACTCTTTCCTATTTTTCCACCTTCTCTTCTACTTTTTTTATAGTATTCATTACTCTTACTATTCTATCTTAAATCTTGTGCCATAACCAAATGTAACGATCTTTTAAATACGGAAGGAGTATTTGTTAGAGTCAAATCGGCCTTGGTTCGGATTTTGAAATACTCGATTTGCCACGTGAATTGAAAAAGCTTCAATTGACAATTTAAACTTTATAAAAAAATTCAAATTTGACTATTTGTTGATTAGGTTTCAATCATTGTCATGTCATCCGTATTAATGGACCCGGTCCGGGCCGACCGCCCCAGGAACTGGCCCGGCTTGCTATTGTGCGGGATCGGCCCGGGCCCGGAACCGGTAGCTTACCGGTCTGGTTCCGGTCCTTACCCAAGACCTTCTAGGTTTGGTCGGGTTCCAGTTCGGGCCTGGTCCACCACTAGTCACTCGGTAAGGTGTCAATTGTACTTGAAGTGACCACTTAAGTGTCAAAATTAAGAAAAATAAAAAATAAAAATATAGAAAATATAATATACAAATACGTAGTATAAGATGAAATATAGTTCAAACTATAAAAATATAAATGTATAGTGTATATATATATATTTTGTGGTAAATTAAAAATAAAAATAAAATATAAACTTAAAGATTTTTTAACTTTATTCTCAAATTTTATATCTATATTTTATATAAGAAAATAAACAATATATTTTTACTTACTATATTTGAATTTGTATTTATGTATTATATTTAATATTCTACCATATAAACATATTTTTATGTTTCTGGTTTGATAATTTATACTATGCTTATATTTTCCATTTTTTATATTTTTAAATTTATTTAAAAAAATATTAAAAATGTATTAGTTTGGTATAATTATATACTATACTTCAATTCTTTTCACTTGTAACATGGAAAATTTTATACTATTCACCATCTTTGTTTTGACTATATTTTATTTATTAACGATACTTATTTTTTGGAAAATATTTTTGAATTTGTCTCATCAAAAATTTTTGTAATCAGTTTTTAAATGTTTTTACTATTACAGTGATGTGTTTACAAATCACATACACGAAATTGAAAAATCTAATTTAAATTAAAAAATAAAAGAAAAATCATATAATGAAAATTCATAATGAGATTAATTCAATAATATTTTTCAAAAGATAACTTATATACCTTTTTAAAAAAAAGATAACTTCCATACATTAATAAATAAATTTAGTCAAAAGAGGTCAAATGAATAGTGTAAAATTGTTCATGTTACAACTAAAAAGAAACGAAGGATAATATATGATTACATCAAAGCAATACATCTTTAATATATATTTTCAATAAATGAAAAAAATATGAATTGAAAATATACACATGGAGAATATAAACATAATATTAAATATCAAACCAAACACATAAAGTATGTTTTATATTACAAAACATTAGAAACATTAGATATTGTACATAAAATACAAATTTAAATTTAGTTAGTAATAATCTATTGTTCATTTTCTCATATAAAATATGGGAATACTGTTAATGTTCTTTTGTGTTTATATTTCATTTTTTGTCATTTTTCTTAATTTTGACACCTTTTAACGGTTGATGGTGTGAATTGAACAATTTAATCGAGTTCAGAGGTGATTCATTAAGTTGCCACGTCAGATGCATGGTTGACACTTTACCTGGTGGCATGGTGATGATCAGACTCTTACATGCAAATAGTGAAATTTAAATCTTTTTATCGTGTTTAGCATATTAAAATCAGATGAATGTTGGTAGGTCCCTTATGCCGAATTGCCGATGTTTTATAAGGATCCGGTTAATAAGATTTTATAGTCAGAATTTTTGGTATAAACGGTATGGGTTGCACTGTTGCATACCGTACCGATCTTTTGGTATACCGAATTTCGATATACCCATGTTTTCAATACAGTAACGGTATGACATTTGAAGATGCTAACATTTCGGTATGGTATGTGTTATGGCGTGAAAATTTTGGTATACCTTACCGAATCACCCGTAATATATACTTATCAATAAATGCTATCGCATGATAATTAATCAAACCTGATCATTAAGTTAACATGATATACTCAAGTTTTGTGAATGAAGAGAGTAATAAAACATAGAAAATCATATCCAAAAAGCCCAAACGGTTTATACAATATAGGAAACCCCAACTCCTAACATATTTCCTTTTTGAAAATAAAAAAAATCGCTACATTCGCCGTTCTAACGTCTGACCTCATAATCTCCATCTCAACTTCTCGTGTTTGTTATTCTCAGGCTTGGATACGGCGAATATGGCATGGCAGTGGCGTAAAAGTGGCGAAATATGACGACCGCTACACTCGACATTGATAAATATGTCGTAAAGATATGTCTTTAGAGTAACATAGACTTTACTCCTAAGACTTGTTTATCTCTTTGTTCTTCATTGTATTCATGTAAATTCCTTTGATTTTATTTATTTGGATATCCCTATTTTAAACTTGAGTATTATTAATAAGTTCCTTTTTTTTATGGAAACCCTTATATTCTTTGGGAAGACATTTCTTTTAAAACGCCAAAGTAATTGAAAATAAAAATTTCAAAATTCATGGTTTCTTATGGGTCTAAGATTGATTGGTTCATTCATTCATGTTTTCAATTTATGCTTTATTTATTTTCATTTGAGATCTCCACCAAAGGCTTTTCACATAATCTAGTACCAAAACTGATGGGATAGTAATTAGTGTGTACTATAAGTATAGAGAAAATGTAAAAAAATATTAAAGAGCAGCTAAAAAGTTAAAAAGAGAAGGAAAGAGTAAGGATAATTATGTCTTGATGTTAGTAAGCAAAAGTAGAAAGTGGTGAGCAAACAATGATAAACTTCATTTAATTATTCATTCATAGTATGGCAATGTAGAATTATTATATTCTATCATAGCTTACATCAGCCTTTGGGTTGTAGAAATATTTTTCTAGCATTGTGTGTTGTTAATAGATATCTATTAACAAAACCGAGCCAAAGCTCGTTAGTCTAGGATTTTAATGAAGACGCCCGTCATCGGTCTGTGCCAAAATCCGACCCTATAGCGCCTTTTTTAGGCATCGATGTCTCATGTTGTTGGCACATCTCATTAGTGTTTCTTATTGATCATTCATTCTAATTTTAACAGGTCATACATAAAGGTGATGTTTAGTCGCTCATACTACTTACAAATGATTTTGTTTTTACTACTTACAAATGAATACTATCGTATGATTGATGATCATTAAGTTAAAATGATATGCTCAAGTTTTGTGAATGAAGAGAGTGATAAAACATAGGAAATCAAATCAAATAAGGCCCAGTCCATTTATACAACATAGGAAACCACAACCCTTTTATTATTATAAATAATAAATGACTACCTTAACTCATTTCCTTTTTGCAACAAAAAATGATTCTGATCCAACACGCCTGATGTGAGTATTACCTTGAAACAAATAAATTTGAACTACTTCCTCATCATGGCAAGTTATACCGTACACCCGGATGCATGTATGGTTCTCACTGTACATCCGGATATTTTTATAATTATTTCTGATTTGTATGGCCGTAGTTCGTCAGTATCCTTTCTTTAATAATTCTTCTCCTGCGAGCTTGAGTCCACTGCGCATACGCTCTCTTCCGTTTTTGACTCTTTTTTTATGCTCTCTTCCATCATTGACTTTTCTCTTTTGCTTTTTACGTAGCTTTTTGTTTTGTACTGATAATTGTTTGTGATTTACGTAACTCTTTTCCATGGATATTAAATATGATGTATATTTAAAGTATTAATGTTTTCTTTTTAGTTTAAGAGGAATATTTATTAGTTTATTAAATATTTAAGGTGTTTTTTTATCATAAAAAAACACCTTAAATATTTAATAAACTAATAAATATTTAAGGTGTTAATGTTTTATTTTTTAAAACATTAACAAGTGTAGCCGGATGTATCATATACCAACTCCCTGAACATAGCCATTGATGAATGTCCTCTTTTGAATGATCCAACAAGTGCATGTTTATATTTCAAACCCAAGATAATTAAACTTCATTGACAACCTGTAGATAGTTTTTTATATTGCTTCTATGAAAAATTTAGAAAAATACATATAGGACGGATAATTTTTCAAGTGCTATACAAGCCAGGAGGTTCAAGGGTATGAACTAAGAAGTATGAGTTATGTGGCAAAGAAAAGTTTAGGAAAGAAATAAAGACGAAATAAAATAGCTTGAAATAATAACTCCATACTGATAAAAGGGCAGTACATAAAAAGAAATGAAAGTAAAATAAATAGACACCCTTTATCATTATCAATTGCAAAATAATAGAACAACAAAGATCATTTCGAGGAAAGTAGATGATATGGCTCCATTCACATTCAATGTTTCTCTAATTCGTCTTTTGTACATGATTGCTCCAGTCATGGTTTCTTTAGGAATGGAGAAAGGGTCAAGATTTCTTCCTCCTCCATGTGAGAACATAGTCAACATGATCTGAAGAGTGTTACCGTGTACAACACTTTCCTGCAAATTACAAAATTAAAAAGTTAATATAAAGTTGGCAAAAGAATTTCTAATATTTCTTATGAAACTGTGTCATGGCAAATCACATACGGAGTATAATAGTCATGGTAATAAAAATACAAAGTGAATATAAAGTTGGAAAAAGAAATTCTAATATTTCTAATGAAATTGCGTAATGACAAACTATATATTAATAATCATGGGAACTCTTCCGGTAAGGTATACCTTACCGGTGCCGCCGTGCGGCCTCCACGTTTTGAGGGCCTTCCCGGTGGAAATTTTCGATGAATTTTTTTGAGCATGTTCTTCATCAAGCCTAGTACATCCATACCAAATTTCAGCAAACAATTCAATCGGGAAGACAGTCAAATGATTTTTGGAAGATAACTGCACCCTTTATATACATATAAAACGCAGTTATCTTCCAAAGATCGTTTGACTGCCTTCCCTATTGAATTTTTTGCTGAAATTTGGTATGGATGTACTAGACTTGATGAAGAACATGCTCAAAAAATTTCATCGAAAAATTACACCGGGAAGGCCCTCAAAACGTGTAGGCCGTACGGCGGCTCCGGTAAGGTATACCTTACCGGAAGATTTTCCAATAATCATTAACTTATCACATTGTGAAATTGTGATGATAATGATGATGATGATACCAATAAAAACAACAATAATATTTTGTGTTTACCAAGTGCAGAGAACATGCACACAACAGTTTTAACGCTGTGTAACAATTTTCGAACTGAAGTAAGATTTCATCGTGGCCAACATGCATCAAAAGCCCTATCAACAATAAAAAAACGTTATGTAAACTTTAATCTATCTTGAAATCTTGCAAGGGAAATGAAGATCTGCGAGTAGAAACAGTTCGCAAAGAACTGGGAGATAACGCTGTTGGTGACTGCGAACTGTGCGAAGCTAGAGAAGAGGCCTGCGAACCGGGAGATGAAGTTCGTGATAGCGAACTGGAAGAAGCCATTCGCGTTTGGGAAGGAAGAGTGACGAAAGATGTTACCTGATTTTCAGTTGACCGACGGCATCTAGGGGACTCCTCGCTCGACCTCTAGTTCTCCTGCGACGCTGTTTAGCAGATGTTGTATCATCTCCTCCAGCATCGTTTGCATCTTCGTAACATGGCCTTCAAAACTTCGAGTGCTATTCTCCATATTTGCGCGCAAACCAGAAGCAGGATTCTCCATTTTGTTGTTGTTGCGTGAATATCGATTGAAGCTTCCCAGGGCTGACCGCTTTGGTACCAATGATAGGTACACAGATATTTGATAGTAAATTGAAGACGATTAAGTTGCTATTGATGAACTGAAAAGAGAAAGATACAATAGTTGGAGATACTTCGAGTTCGAGTGGTCCCCTGCACTCCCAAGATCCAAATCCCAGACTAATTTCTGCCTAACTCACATATTCTCCTCTTTCCCTTCTTATAGTAATTATATCCTAATGGGCCAGCCCACATTTTATGACATGACCCAGGATACTTATTTGTACAATACCATACTTATTTAATATCAATCTATCACTATTATTATTAGGGTAATTCTATTCGCACTCACTTATTTGCTATGTACAGCCACGTATTTTTAATAATTCCTACTATGTCCTTATGTAATAATCTGCAGCCCGCAGCCCACACGGCCACACCCTCCCTGGTAAATAGATCAGATCTTCTTCTCCGTGGCTAGGACATTGAAGAGGCGCATGATATGCGGGCTGGGCAGGCGGCGCATAATAGAAAATTCCTGTTTAACGTGGTCCCAATGGCCGCCTTTGAAATTCTTCTGCCTGCTCACCACTTTTATCACAACGATGTGTCCTGTTTTAGCAAAAGCCCCACAACCAAGCGCTTCTGATCCCCAGCTCTTATTTTCCAAATATTCTGCAATTAGAATATGCCGCCACAATATCGCTGGCCACTGCTAACGACGTCAACGAACAGCCCTCACCATTCATTACGCTTCCTGCTGAATCAACCCGCAACAGCTAAAAAGCTGAGATTCGGGGAAGACTCAAAATAATTTCAATGATAAGCTATGTTGACTATGCAAATTCTGGAATGATAAGCAGCGGGAAGGTGGAGAAGCGAATAAGGACCAAGGTCTTCTCGTGGGCAGAGATGATGTCTATTGATGCTACTCCTTACCATCTTTGACTGAGGCGACTCCATATTGATAGAAGCTTGGGCTGAACTTGGTGGGCACTGGGCATTCTTTCCATCCTTAGTAAAATAGGGGGTGTGTTATAACAATTCACATACGCTCAAACATGTTTTAAAGGGTCCTCCATGCGTTCAATACAAAATATGGAAAGCTGCAGGGAAGAGGGCACTGTCACTTTCATTCGCAAGTATGAAAATCAGGTGATCTTCCGGAACATCATCAGTAAAGAGGCATAGAAAAACAAAGAACTACCGATTATTGTATTAGTACCTGATGTCGGCGAAAGAAAGGGAAATGCACGTTCATGCCACGACCGGGCTGCTGATTATTGTATTAAGGGCATAATAGGAAGTATAGAAAATAAGTGGTTGCACTTAGTAAATAAGGGGCTGTGAATAGAATTTCCCTTATTATTATTCTCTACAAAAAAATCTTGCATCATCTTATAATAATAAGAGAAAAATAAGTCTTCCTAAAACAGTTTAGGCCCAAAAGCAAAAGCTTCTCGATCGCAGATATTAAAAAAGATGGAAAAATATAAATTTTTTAAAATTTAAAATGTTCTAATGTCTTAATATGTTAATTTGATTTTTATTTGAATCACTATATTCACTCCAATCACAATCATTAAATAGTAAATACTGGTCTCATGAAATTGTGTCATGACAAATTAAACCATATACGTAGTATAATACTCGTGGTGATTGATAAATACAAAGTGAATATCAACAACAATGTCCAAGACTTATTACCAAAAGATTTTGGGGTCGGCCAGTGCCGATCCTACCTAAACTCAAGCCTGAGTCGAAACTTCATAAAAAAGGCCCCTATAAATTGCAATATTATGTAGTATAATTTGTTTTGAAGTTAAAGATCAAACATCACAAAATAACTATTTTAATAAAATTCATACATTATATAATATAAGAATACCGAAAGTATTAAAAAACTAAATAAGTACAACCTATGAAAATCATGTTGTCTAATAAATTCCTTCTAAATTAATAAAAATGTTAATCCATTCAATATATATTGAAATTCCTTCTCGCGTACATCCACAGATAAATAAAAATATAATTTATTGAAATCATATATTATGTGATAATATTACTTTTTTTGATATATAATAATATTAGTTAAATAAATGTGCTAAATAATACGGAGTACATTTTTGTTAGTAAATTAGAAATCATAGCCTATTTAAGATTAAAATCTTAAATTATAAAAACTGAAATTGTTTAATTCTGCATCTTTATTCATTTAAACATCCCAAATTAAGCTTAAACTTAATTTTCTGAACATAGATTTCGATTAAAAAAAGCCGGAACTGTTTAATTATGCATCTTAATCAATCAATGGCATCTCAAATCAACCCTTGGAACAATTTTTAATTTATCTCCGATTAAGATACGAAAAAGAGTTTTTCATTGTGCAAAACAAATTCTAATTGGGCCCATAAACTTTCGGGCTCTACTTGCAATTTCAAAAGCTATTTGTGAAAAATTTAACATTGAAACATAAAATATTAAAAGATTAAAAGCTAAGCATAAAAAGGATAAAGTCAGCTTTTTGTTCTTCGTTGGTTGATTGCCCCAGCGACAAATTGTCCTTCTTCCTTTTTGAGTGCAGGCGTGCAGCGACGATATAATTAAAAACAAAGCAGGTCTTTTATAATTTAAATAAACACACATATAAGAGGAAGATATTAAAAATTTTGGGCCCCTAAATTTTTACCATTTCTGGGACTCTGAGGCCCATGCCTCAGCAACCTCAAAGAAAGCACGGTCGTGGGGTCGGCTAACATTAATCAATTAGTACATGATATCGGAGTCAAAAAGGAAAAAAAAAAAGATAAGGTAAGATCAAAAAGATAAAATAAAGATAAAGATAAATATAAACATTTCAGATGTATTAGAAAAAATAAAGATAAATATAAGATAATATAAAGTGAATATCAACAACAAAATACAAAGTGAATATAAAGTTGGAAAAAGAATTTCCGATATTTCTAATGAAATTGGATAATGACAAACTATATATCATGAAATTATCACATTGTGAAATTATGATGATGATGATATACCAATAACAACAACAACAATTTGTGGTTAAATTATGATGATAATGATGATATACCAATAACAACAACAATTTGTGGTTACCAAGTGCAAAGAACATGCACACACCAGTTTCAATGCTGTGTAACAATTTTCGAACTGAAGTGAGACTTCATCATGGCCAACATCAAAAGCCCTATCAAAAATAAAAATAAAAAATCATGCCAACTTTAATCTGTTTTTCATCTTCTTATAATAATAAGAGCAAAAGTAGTCTTCTTAAAACAGATCAGGCCCAAGAACAAAAGCTTCTAGATCACAGATATTTAAAAAATGGAAAAATATAAACTATTCAAAATTTAGGGGAGTGTATTCATTTGAGACTTTTAAATACATTTTGGGATTTCCAAACCTGGGTGTATTTAGTTGAGACATTTTAAAACATTTTGAGAATCTAGAAAAGTCTTGGTGTATTTAAAATATCAACAAAACTTTGGATAGTCGTGTGAAATGGAATTTAGTAGGACTCTACTAGAAATATACAATAGGAAATCCCATTATACAATCCCACCTCTCGACATGAGATTTGGTGAGACCATTCGCAGAAAAGGTGCTGGGACGACTTGAGCCGCCCCCAAATTGCCTCATTTCAGACATGGTGCTGCTGTGGATGGCAGAAATCGCTCTGGGTCTGAACAATCCCCACCTTCTTTTCCGCGGAACGTGCTGCTTCTCCATCCTGTGCAACCATAGAATAATGGATCCCTCAAGGAGAAGGAAATACTCAAGGAGCAGGAATAACTTGAAGGAGAAGGCAGCCTACGAGGAATTGGAACTTGAATACACCCAAGAGCATCAAGTAGAAAAAAATACTTGCAGGAATGTGGAGAGGGAAATGCTTGCAGCTACTGCGTTCCCAGAATCCGTTTGTCTTCAAATGTCTTAACCAAAAATGTCCACACAAATCTAAAAAGGGAAAGTTCCCGAAATATGACTAAAACAGTTTGGAAATTCCAAAATAGGACTGTCGTGTTTTTTATTCCCAAAATAGGAGTAATTACTGCCAAGTTTAGAAGATACTGTCATGTTTGAAGTCTGGTACTGCCAAAACATGACAGTAATTAGTCCTATTTTGGGAATAAAAACATGACAGTCCTATTTGGAATTTCCAAACCTTTTTAATCCTATTTAGGGTAATATCTCTCATCTTAAAAGTCCTTGTATATATATATAAAAGGGAAAGTTCCTGAAATTGGACTAACACAATTTGAAAATTTCAAAATAGAACTGTCATGTTTTTTATTGGGAAAGTTCCCGAAATAGGACTAAAGCAGTTTGAAAATTCCAAAATAGGACTGCCATGTTTTTATTCCCAAAATAGGAGTAATTACTGTCAAGTTTGGAAAATACTGCCATGTTTGAAGTCTGGTACTGCCAAAACATGACAGTAATTAGTCCTATTTTTGGAATAAAAACATGTCAGTCCTATTTTAGAATTTTCAAACCTTTTTAGTCCTATTTCGGGTAATATCTCTTTTTTATTCCCAAAATAAGGGTAATTACTGCCGTGTTTGGAAAATGCTGTCATGTTTGAAGTCTGGTACTACCAAAACATGACAGTAATTAATCCTATTTCGGGAATAAAAATATGACAATCCTATTTTGGAATTTTCAAACATTTTTAGTCCTATTTCGGGTAATATCTCTATAAAAAAGTCTACTAAAATCCCATGTCCTTATAAAACTTAAAATGTCTTTGGGAGTCTCAAACCAATACACCCTCCTTAAAGTTTTCTAATTTCTTAATAAGTTAATGGGAATTTTTATCTGAATCACTATATTGAAACATAAGAATTGTTACATATATAATGGTTTTCTTTCCCATACATATACCATTTTTATATTGGAACCACAATGATAATATTAATAATAATAATAACATATAGGAAAATCGCACTTTTAGTCCCTGAAATAGTCACTCAAATGAAAAGTCGGACCCGTATTCCCAAGTTTGTAAATGTCGTCCATCAATTGTCCTAAATATTGTAAATGTGGTCTCTTTAACGGGTGAAATATACAATGTGGGCGAGAGTACATTTCAACCCTTAAAGGACCACATTTACAACAATTTGGACAATTGAGGGGTGACATTTACAATATCCGAAATACGAGTCCGACGTTTCATTTTCGTGACTATTTCATGGACTAAAAGTGCGACTTTCCCTAATATATAAATATAGATGTAACCATGTAAAGAAAAGGCAGATACATGAAATCAAAGTGAATACCTCAACACACCCAAAGTCGCAAAAAATATGCATATTGAGGCTGGTCGTTCAGAAACCCATGGCCATTGAGGCAAACCGTTAATAATGAGAGTTGGCGGTTGTGAATGAAATAACAGTAAATAAAAAGAAAGAACGAGCTATTAGAGAGTGGATCAGTCATCACACTTCAACCAAATACAAGCCTTAGTCCCAAAAGGTATTGGAGTCGACTAACATGAATCTCGAAACATGATATCACCACTCAAAGGAAAAGAAAGAAAATAAAGATAAAAAAGATAAGCTATTATAAAAATATTAATAAAAAGAGATGAATATACCTAAAAATGATAAAATAAAAAGTATAAAAATAATGTTTATATATATAAGGATAAAAGGATAAAAAACAAGAAAAAAGATGAAATAATAAAACAATATACACGATCTTGGATTGCTGTTAATGTTAAAGTAAATGTTCCACACCGGAACGGTATGAAATAATAAAACACTATATACGATCCTGGATTACTCCTCCTATCAGGTTAACTTTTAAGATATAAATTGAGGTCTTAACAATTAGCATCATCTTCCATTTATTACACCAGTAGTTTTGGAATTGCACGTGTTAGTTGTGTTTTAGCTAAATTCAAGTTTGGCCAAGGGCGGATTCAGGAATTTGGTATGTCCCTGGACTGAAGAGTAATCATATTAGGCTTAAAGATTAGCGGGTAGGCTAAATATGAAAAATAAAAATTACATCAAAAAAATGAAAAAGTAAGGGGCAGACAATATGAACGTGGATGTCTTCATACAAAACTTTGAGAGGTCTAGGAAATACTAGGCGACTGTGGAAAAGACTAGAGATAAAAAGTTTCACATTAAGCTCATCCACACCACTACCCATGAAACCTTCAATGCATCCAAAGGTAAAGTTCAACTTCATGCGAGGAACTAGTGACACGGTCATATTTTCATAAGAAATTGTCTTATATAGGACTAAAACAATAGACAAATTCCAAAATAGAAGTCCTAAGTGATATATTCCCTAAATAGGAGTTAAGTGAGTTGCTCAGCCGTTGCTTTTTATCCATATTTACAATTATACCCTTATTTAGATTATTTTGATCGAATAACAACTTTCCTCTCTCCACTACCTTATCCTCTCGCCTAACTCTATCCCTGTTGCCTCACGTTCTTTCTTTTTACTTCTCCAACCTTACATTAATATGAATCTCTCTTCTTCATCCATTTCATCGGTTAACTTTTAATTTTTTAACTCTCTGACGGAATAGGGCGGCGGCGGAGGGCGGCGGCACAAAGGAGGGCGGCGGAATTCATGGACATAGGTAAGTATCAATTTCTCCTTCTTCGATCTCCTTCTTCTTCTCCGTCTTCTCATTCTCCTTCTTCCAGATCTCTATATTTTTTGTTATCTGCCATCTTCTCTATTTTATTTTATTTTATTTTATTTTATTCCAATAACTTTTAATTTATTTAGTTTTTAAATTTATTAGTTTATTAGTGATTAATTTTATATCCGAAAATTACATATTGCAACCTTCTATGGAGCAACCACTCCAGATCTGAGCTTAGATCTCTGATCTGGAAAGAAGAGTATAACAAATTGCCATGTTATCTTAATACCCCTATAAAAATACAAAAGATGAACAATATTGTCATGTCAAGGTAAAATGTAATAATGCCATCTCACTATCCTTATAAGCAATATTTGCCATTTTTGTAATAATAAAAATATGAAAGATGGAAAACATTGCCATGTCGAGGTAAAAAATTGCCATCTTGCTAAATGTAATGTCATATAAATGATATTAGTTTGAAATTAATGTTCAAATCATTTGTGATTACTGAAAAAATAACACCGTAATTTTGAAACTTTGAGACTTAAAATTAATCATAAACAAACTAATAAAGTTCAAAATTAAATAAAAATGATTGGAATCATGAAGTAAAATAAAAATTAAAGATGAATTGTGACTATGCCCAAAGTGAGAGGAATCATCTTCTTGATAAATAAAAGTTAAAAGACGAACGCACATGAAAATATTTTGATAACAATTCACAGCATAATCACATCAAATCACTTGTTCTAATGATTTTTCCAGGAAGCGGCACCTGAGATGGCGGTGGCGCTAATGGCACCGGAGATGGCACCGGAAATGGCGCCGGAGATGGAGGCGGCAGTGGCACCGGAGATGGCGGCGGCAGTGGCACCGGAGATGGCGGCAGCAGTGGCGTCGGAGATGGCGGCGGCAGTGGCGCCGGAGATGGCGGCGACAGTGGCGCCGGAGATGGCGGTGGCGCCGGAGATGGCGGTGGCGCCGGAGATGGTGGCGGCACTAATGGCATCGGAGATGGTGGTGGTCGTGCTGGAGATTCTGACAGCATATGTCATGTGTGGTCTTCTCTGCCTCTGTTATCTAAACTTTAACTTTAATTTGTTATTTTGTTTTCTTTTCATTAAGGGTATTTTGGTCTGTTATTATTTATTTTCGTGTGTCAAACTAAAAGTGGGATAGGACTCCTACTTTTGCACTTTAGTCATGTTTAACTCCCACTTATGGAATTATCTCTATTTTCATCAACTTTTACACTTCTGGGAGGAGGATATTGTAAGTTTGGGATGGCCTTCGGAATTTGAACGGGATCATCCACGGAAGCATCTTTAGATTCATTTTCACCAGATACCTTCTTAGTCAAAGATTTTCTCTCTCTTTCATCTGCAATTATATTGTATAATAATTTAACCCATAAACTTACCATTGTTATGTCATAAACAACTGACATCAGCGCAAATGAAGGAAATAATATTTAATTTGCAAGCACAAGAACCAAATGATCTGTAAAAGTTGTGTGAACTGGTTTCAGATCATTACAAATGGGACATAGGTCTGACTTTTTGTTATGCTAACCTAACCTAGCTGATGGAAGAGCAACTCTCAAACAGGAATTTCACAATGCTGCCTTTAGCTATAGACCTATAGTCCAATACAAGCGATTAAGGATGAGTGAGATTCATGCTCTTGGTAAGCCTATTTTTGGAAAATCGGATTTAATAATCCCTATTATGCCTGGTCCGCTTTTAATAATCCCAATTATTAATTATTACTGGATGGTCTTAACTTAACTGGGCATTTTCTACTAATGGTCCCCATGACCGGTTACCGGTTAGTAACATAAGAAAACACTTCCAAATTTAGAACTCCTTCTCAGGCCATTCGACTACAGACATACGAACTATGAGCTGATGAAATCTACTATTGTCTTCTTTCACCTCCGCTTCGTGCGCGAACTCATGAGGAAAAATTCAAGTGCGTGATTTGAAGATTGTAAGAGCTTGATTGTGACCACATAGCAGGTTACGACTACCTCCAAATCTTTATGTTTGTATATGTGTCCATGTATACAAAACTAGGGTTACTTGGGGAATTTAAGGTTTCTTATAATCTGTTTCATTCTAAACTTTTAGGTTGTATTTGAATCAAGAAGAAATGGCTAATTGTACTGCTGTGACGCTTAAGATGTGGCATGGAGGAACGTTTAGGAAGAATGAAACAGGAGAACTACAATATGTTGGGAGACAATGCAAGTGCTTTGATGTTGATGCCGATGAGTTGTGCTGGTTTTTGTTAAAGGAGTTAGCCGGAAAATGTGGTAAGTATTCGAGTATAGATGACATCTATTATTTGATTCCGGGTAAAACCTTTGAGAATGGATTGAAAAGGGTAAAGTTTGATGCTGAAGTTAGGGAAATGTACATAGTAGTAATGACATTTAGAACCATTGATTGCTGCATTAGGCATGGATTAAGCACTCCAGAAATTGTGTATCTACTGGAAGGAACCGAGGAAATGGAGAGAGTAAGGTAGGTTTACAAGCTTCGAAAGCAGCAACAAGTTATGGCCCAAGTCAGGGTGTGAGCACACCTCACACAAACACCTCAGAAGTTCCAAGTGGCTTTTATGCATTTTGTGAGGGAGAATCAGAACATGATGCTACAGATGAAGATGCTGAAGAGGATGACTCACATGAACATGTGGAAGCAGAATCCAATGACCAAGATGGTGATCATAACACTGATGTACAAGCTGAGTATTTGGAGGTCCCTCTAGTTGGATCTGATAATGATACTAGTGATGAAGAGTTCATAGAGTCCAGAAGAAAAGTGAGTGGACGGAATACCAGGATTCAGGAAATAGCAAAGAAGCTACAAAAAGAAACAACTAATGGTCTTCTAGGCGTAATGCACGGTTAGAAAAACAACATGTAGAAGAGCAGGATCTGGGGCAGCAAGAGTTTTTTAGTGATTATGAAGACTCTGAAAATGACTTGCTCACACCTTCTAAGAGTGAAAATGATGGTACACTGTCCTCAAAGAGGAAAATTAAAGCTCTTCATATGGATGCGTATACTGACTTCAAGGAGCTTAAGTGGCAGGTTGGTATGAGATTTGAAAATAGGGACAAATTTAAAGATGCAGTGGCGAAGTTTGCAATTGCTCAAGGTAGGAACTTGAAAATAAATGTGAATTCTAAGAATAGGCAACAAAGGATAGGTGCAAAATGTGTGGAAGAGTGTCCTTTTTGGCTGTACGCTAGCCGGGATAGCAGGAGGGCTTCTTTTGTAGTCAAGAATGTGAAGGGAATCATACCTACAATAGAAACATGAAGAAAAATAGACAACCAAAGGCATCATGGGTTGCAGTCCAACAGTTGGAAGTTTTCAAGTCCAGACCTCACTGGCTTGCACAAGAAATAACAGAAACCATAAGAAGAGCTTACAAAGTACTTGTTTCGAGAGACTTTGCATACAAAGTGAAACATCATGCGCATATGAAGCTTTATGGCAGTATGAAGGAACATTATAACAAGGTAGGAAGGTACTTAGAAGCTCTAATTCAAGCAAATCCTCAAAGCCACTTTAAATTTCTTACAATTCAAGTACTAAAACATTGTTATGTTTCATATCCAACCACCAAGATAAAGGTTTAATACATGGAAAACATTCAAAGATGTTTTACACCCAACCTCCTACTTAAACAGTACAACAGTAATGCTACCTACTAAACAACTCAATTCACTTATGATATAGTACAATGCTAAATAAGATCCATGAAATAATCAGCCAAACAAATGCAAGTTTCTCTCCCTTTGCGTGCTTCGAGGCCAAAATGCGAAAATCTTTCATTTTAGCTCCCATCTTTTCTTTCTTCTTTTCCAGCTTCACAATCTTGAAATAATGACCCACATATCATTACTAGACTCTTGGATTCCGAAAATATGAATCTTTTGACATTTCCCAAAAATATGACCGATCGTAGCCGTAACCGCTTCTTTTCCGAGATAGGGGTTTTTGTAGCCTTCATCGCACTGGTGTGACCTGCGATTCTCTCAGCATCCCACCGCCTCTGTGAGACCAGTTCTTCACACATCCGTCCGCGTCACTGTGCAATAGCCTTCTCTTCCGTCCGCGTCGCTGAACCACAGCTCAAGCTCCGCCGCGACTTGCAGCCACCATCTCCACCCCAATAAAACTCTGTCGACTGTAGAATCTACACCTCCGCCTTCAGATTCGTCAACGACATCACTAGGTGGCCGTCGGATATGGGAGCGAATGATGACTTTGGTGGCTCTAACAGTTCTGGTCGCTACTGAGCAGATCTGGAATTGTTCCTAGTTGGGCGGTGATATGGCGGACTATTCCCGCCGGCTAGGTTTTTCGGTGGCTGTAACAGACGGGTTAGGACGGCGGAGGCTGCGGAAGACCTTGAGATTGGTTCGAGGGGCAGGGGTTTCCGGCAAGGTTTGGGCCAGGGGATGGATTTTGACAGGGAATTGGGGCAGGGCTGTTCCGACGGGGCTAAGACTGGTGGTGGTGTGCGACAGGTTGCTGTGGGCTGGTGGGGAAGGGGTCGGGTTGTTGTTGGTTGGTGGGGCCAGGGGTGTTGCTGTGGACTGCTGCGGCCAGGGGCTGGTGCCATTGGGGCTGAGGGCAGGTGGCTGAGTGCAGGTGGCTGGGGGTGGTGCTAGGGTGGGGTTGGCTAAGAAAAGGGATGAAAGCGGCAGTGAAAAGCAGGGGAGGGATTGGTTGTCCTGAGACGGCGTGTCACTGTGGTGGCTGTGTCACTGTGACCGGTGAACGGTAGTCACTGTGATAGGTGGGCGGTCACTATGGTCGGTAGGACAGTCACTGTGGCGGTAGGGCAGTCACTGTGGCGGTAGGGCAGTCACTGTGGCTGGCGGGGTAGTCACTGTGGCCGGTGGGGCCGTCACTGTGGCCGGCGGGGTAGTCATTGTGGCTGGCAGGGCCGTCACTGTGGCGGTGGGACAGTCACTATAGCCGTTGGATAGTCACTTGGTCGGAGTCACTTTGCCCGAAATCACTTTGGATTGTAGGGGCTAATTTGTTGTTGGTCACATTTTTGGGGTTTTTTAAAATGTTTCACTTTTTTGTCTTTTATCCTATTTTTAGTAATATCCAGGCCAAAAGGCCCACAATCTTCTCCTCCAAATTTCTTTTCTCCATCAAAAGCTGTTGAATGAAATTATCCTTATCATTTGTCTTCTCTTCATGTTTATGATCAACCAATCCTATTTGGAATTTCATGTTAAAATATCTGTCAATATCTCTCTATCACTAGTCATCAAGAAAAGCAAACCTATCAAATAGCCCCTAAACAAAGAGATGCAGTCAGGTAATTCGGTATTATTGCATTTTTGTAGTTTAACTTTTAAATGAAACAAATAGACAAGTTTAGACTACATTTCCCGTCAGAACTGCCTAGTTGATCTTTTCCGCACACTGCACACACACATATCAATGTTCTTAAGTCCTAACTTCTACGATGAGTATATATAAACATTTCAGTAGTATGCTACTTAAATGACATACATAAAACTACTTATATTACTGATATTAAAATATATCACGTACAACCGTTTAAATGTATAATTGAACGACATCAATATGATTAACTTAGCCATTTTACTTGCCATGATGTTTCTCCAGTTCATTTTTTGTACCTGATTGCTCCGGTAGTGGTTTCTTTAAGATTGGAGAAAAGGACAACTTTTTTTCCTCCTCCAAGGCCCTTTTTTCCTTCCATGTTAGTACATAGTCAACAAGAGTGTCACCTTGTACAACACTCTTCTGCAAATTACAAAATTACAAAGTAAATATAAAGCTGGCAAAAGTATTTCTAATATATCTCATGAAATTGTGTCATGACAAACCATATATAATAATCATGGTCATAAAATACAAAGTGAATATCAACAATAACATCCAAGCCTTATTCCTAAAAGATTTTGGGATCGGCTAACATTAATCAATACATGATATCAAAGTTAAAAAGAAAAGAAAAAAAAAACAGAGAGAGATAAGGTACGATAAAAAAGATAAGATAAAGATAACACTACAAAAAAAAGTGCACATAGACTGCACATGGACCACATTTTTTTTGCGATGGCAGCATAACTGTCGTTAAAAATACCATTAACCACACATTTTTTATTTACCACACACAAAAATGTGGTAAAAGCTTAGAGACAACAGTTTTTAACCGTGACCAATGTTTTTGCCACAGCTGTTGTGCCGACGCACCTAAAACTGTCGTAAAAACAGAAGGAGGAACATTTACGACAGTTTTGCATCAATTTTACGTGCATCACCACAACAGCCGTGGTAAATACATTGGCCACAGTTAAAACTATCGTCTCTGACCTTTTAACACAGTTTTGTATGTGGTAAATGAAAAAATGTGTGGTTAATAGTGTTTTTAACGACAGTTATGCGGCCATCGCAAAAAAAATATTGGTCTATGTGCGGTCTATGTGCACTTTTCTTGTAGTGTAAATATAAACATTTCCAATGTTTTAGCGAAAATAAAGATAAATACTCCCTCCGTCCCGAAAACAACCTCTCGGTTTGACCTACACACATATTTAGGAAATAAATTTGACTTTACTGTAGAGTGCACTGTTTGGCACTGTTTAAACACTGTTTGACACTGTTTAAACATTGTTTGACACTGTTTATCACTTTTTTATGTAGATAATTTGCCAAATAAGAAAAGTATTGAAGTGAGAAGTTAATTTTGGGACATCCGTTTAAGGAAAGTGGGAAGTTGTTTTTGGGACGGAGGGAGTATAAGACAATACAAATTGAATATCAGCAACATAATACAAAGTGAATATGAAGTTGGAAAAAGAATTTCCAATTAATATTTGTAATGAAAATGTGTAATGACAAACTATATTTCATGAAATTATCACATTGCAAGATGATGATGATGATATACCAGTAACAAAAAGCAACAACAACAGTCTTAATGCTTTGTAACAATTCTCGAACTGAAGAGAGACTTGACCATGGGCAACATCAAAAGCCCTATCAACAATAAAAAAATTATGTCAACTTTAATCTATCTTGCATCTTCTTAAAATAACAAGAGCAAAAGAAGTCTTCCTAAAACAGTTCAGACCCAAAAACAAAAGCTTCTAGATCACAAATATTTAAAAAAAATGGAAAAAATAAACTGTTTAAAATTTAATGTTTTTTAATTTCTTAATGACCCCTATATTACAACCCATGTTTTCATTTCTAAAAATATGACATCTTTTGTTTTTCCCAAAAAAAGTGACACCTTTTAATTAAATGCCATCAAATACGGAAACTCCCTCAACCCAAAATAAAGCCATCTAAGAGCAACCCAAAATACAGAGTATTATCGATAGATGCCTCAAGTTTCAACTGTTTTATATGCTGCCGCAATACTCGATCTCATCCGCAGGATGCCGCCTCAGATCTCAACCGCCGACCGCGTGCCTCTGCTTCATGTCTCGCTGCTTCTTATCTCAAGCGCCTTCTCCGGGCTCCGTCTCTCGATCGCCATCGCCGCCTATTCATCTCCCAAGCTCAATCGCCGCCACTGTTCTTTTTCTTCTCTTTTCAGTAGGCGGTTGGCGCCATTGATGAGAGGTGGTGAGAGTCGGAGGACGTGGCTATGAAGTTTTGTTGGGAAAAACTCGGACTCTCCCACTTCGTGAAGTTAAGATAGACATTTAAGAAATAAGGTAATAATGGGAGCACACGATTTAAATTCTCCAATATGGAGATTCTTCCACTATACAAAAGAATAGTAGGGTATACAAGGATGTTACAAAATTGTCTCACTCAATGATGTCTTCCCAAGCTATCTCTCTTCTCTTTCAAAGAGGCTCTCTAACTTTCTCACTCTAGAAGTGAATTCACTCTGGGCTAGGATGGTTAGGAATGAATCCCCATCCCCCATTTATACTACTCCACCTTCACAATGAATGGTGGGGATGATTTCTATCTAAGGGTGGAGATTGATTCTCTAGAATGTTCCACACACTCTAGGAATCTCCATAGTCCATACTCTTCCACTCTCTTCCATATCATTCCATACTCTTCCATAGGCGGAAGGTTCCACACATCTCTAGAATATTCTAGAGGATTCCACACTATTCCTCAAGCTTCTAGAGAGTTCTAGATTACTCTAAGATTCTCCGGAACGTTCTAGAAAATTCTATACTGCTCTAGAAAGCTCTAGAATTTTCTAGAACCTCTCCAATTAAAGAGGTTCATTAACTTTCTCACTCTAGAAGTGGATTCACTCTTGGCTAGGATGGTTATGAGTGGGGGCCTCTACTCCTATTTATACTACTCCACCTTCACAATGAATGGTGGAGATGATTTTTATCCAATGGTGGAGATTGATCTCTAGAATGCTCCACACACTCTAGGAGTGTCTATACTCTTCCACCCTCTTCCATATCCTTTCATATTCTTCCATAAGCTTCCGGAAGGTTCCACACATCTCTAGAATATTCTAGAGAATTCCACACTATTCGACATACTTCTAGAGAGTTCTAGACTACTCTAGGATTCTCCGGAACGTTCTAGAAAATTCTATACTTCTCTAGAAAGCTCTAGAATTTTCTAGAACCTCTCCAATTAAGGAGGGATCCCAACAAGTTTATGGCGCCAACATATGATCGTGGCAAACGGCCGGGATTCGGAGCATCTAGATTTCGATTTGTGGGGAGTAACAGGCTGGTGGGCGGGGGTGGGGAGGCCGGCATGGTGGTGAGCATCGGGATGGTGGTGCGAGTCACTGGCACTGCGGTCACTATGTCCGGAGATGGTCACTGGGCGGCGATCACTATGGCCTGGAGATGGTCACTATGACGGGAGATGGTCACTGAGCGGCGATCACTACGATTAAGATGTTCACTGAGCGGTGGTCACTATAATCGGCGAGAGATGGTCACTCAGCGACGGTCACGATGACCAAGATGATCACTTAGTGGTTGTCACTATAACCGGAGATGGTCATTGGGTGGCGGCAGACCGTGGTGGTCGTGGTTGCTGTGGACGGTTAGCTAGGGAATATTGAAAAATGAAAAAGAAACTTCATCATAATTAATGAAATACGTATTAATCTAAAAAAGGAACCTCACCATAATTATAAAAAAGAGATTTCACCATAATTAATGCTATACGGAATAAACTATGGGAGTGAATGAATGGTAAGTAACTATTTTGTAAATTTTTAAAACTAAGTCATAGTTTTGTCTTTCTTACTTATTTTAGTAATAGTGATAAAAAAAGGCCATTTCTTAATAAGTTAATTGGAATTTTTAATTGGATCACTATATTCATTCCGATAACGATCATTACATATTGGTCTCCTTTCCTATATGTAAAACATTTTTGTATTGGAATAGTAATGATAATATTAATAATAATATATAAATATAGATGTAACCTGTTCTAAAATTCGTTCTAGGCGTCCGACTAGTCCCCGCTTAGGCGCTAGGCGGTGGTCGGGCGCCCCGATTTTCGTCTAGGCGCTCCGACTAATTGGTTAGCCGTCTAGGTGAATTAGTCGGCCGCCTATGACGCCTAGTTGCCCCGCCTATACCGCCTAATCGGACACCTAGGCCGTCTAGATTTGTCCAACATTACTTTACTTTTCAATTTTAATTTTCTAAGCGCTATACGTACTTTGACTTTAGCCATGGATATAAAGAACTGAAGTTGTAAATTAAGACAAACCTATATACGTATGTTTGTACATATACCCAAAGTTTATTACTATTTATATTTATAACATAATGAAGTTAAGTGATTAGTTATCATATACTGCGTATGATTAAATGTGATAATTCTATCATTCATGTTTGTTAATCTATATGTATATGTTTTATACACACAAAAATACAATATTACTCATCATATTTATCCTAAAATATAGATAAAAATGAAATTTCTATGAACTCCGAATAGTCCCCGACTAGGCGCCCGCCTAACCGCCTAGGCGCTAGGCGCTGGGCTGGCGCCCGACTAGCGCCTAACGCCTTTTAGAATATTGGATGTAACCATGTAAATCAAAGTGAATACCTCAGCACACCAAAAGTCTCAAAAAAGATGCGCATTGAGGCCGGTTGTTCAGCAACCCATTGAGGCAAACCTTTAATAATGAGAGTTGGCGGTTCTGGACAAAATAGCATTAAATAAAAAGGAAAGAATGAGCTTATAGAGAGTGGATCAGTCATCACAGTTCAGAGCAAATAAATTATCATAAACATCAGCCTGCATTTATCAAACCACTGGTTTAGGAACTGTGTTAGTTGTGTTTTAGCTAAATTCAAGTTTGGCTCTTATGTGCCATTGTGCCCTGGTGGCCTGGAAACAAAAATAATGGAAAAAAGAACAAATGAAGAGCAGCAAGCTCACAAAGGGAAAAAAAACCTGGATTACCAGCAGGTTGAGGTATTTTTGAAAGGGCAGCCATCATTTGATTTGGATCTTCTTCAGGCGGTAGGGTCAGAGTCACTTGAAAGGTGGAACCATAGCCAGATGTGGTATAAGTGCTAAGATACTTGAGTAAGTAATTCCTCAAGCCCTCAAGAAACTGCTCAAATATTAATCTTTTATCCCTAAAATAGAAGCAGCCATCTGCTAAAACAAACATCTCTTTATCTTCATCAATAGTCGTCTTTTTGAAGGGGGAGAGAATATGAACATGGATGTCATCGTATGGAACTTTGAGAGGTCTGGGAAATACTTGGCGATTGTGGAAAAGATTAGAGATAAAAAATTTCACACTAAGCTCATCCACACCTTCACCATTGAAACCTTCAATGCATGCAAAGGTAAAATTCAACTTCATGCGACGAACTAGTGACACCGTCAGATCTTCATTAACTTTTGTACTTCTAGCAGTAGGAATTTGTAAGCGGGGGATGGCCTTTGGCGGGAGCATCCATGGATGTTTCTTCATTGCTGCCTCCAAAACAAAAGCATCTTTAGGGAGGGGGCGTTTGTTAAGGGGTAAAGTACTCATTTTAAGTGCAAAAGTGTAGTGATGCAAACAATTTAAGCTATTTGGTACGATTATTTAATGTAAACTGTAGGGTAGTGATTTTAAAACATTTTACGTTTTACTATGTAAAATACTTTATGTAAGGGTGATAAAATATTTCACATTCGTAATACAGAGTATAAAATTGATCAAATTAAAAATTTTAAATGCAACACCGGCTGTTCTTCACTAATTCTTCTCAACTAATTCTTCTCAAAGCCTAACACTGGTTGTTCTTATTTCGATCAACATAGCTAAGGGATTATACCTGCCACTAATAATTTTAAATTGGAGACATATTAATTAGTCTCTATCAAGCATATTCGAAAATAATTTTTCTTCTTTATGAAATTCCTTCTTTGTTCTTGGATCAATAGTAGAAGTTCTTCAATTTTGCTATTTTGTTGTATGTTATTTAAAGTTCACAATTTTGCATTCTGTTTCCTTGCTACGATGGTTTTTAAAAGGGTATTTTTGATTTTTAATTGGAGCTTTACACGTGAACTTATTTTTTGAGTCAAACAATGTATTTACTTTGCATGTATTTTAAAAATAGATCACATATCTCACCAAACAGTGTATTTATATTTTACATGTAAAATGATTGCATCCCTACACTTTACATGCAATCAGTTTGCGTGTAAAGTTTTAATGTGTAAGCAACCAAACACTCCCTTAGATTTTTCATTTGGGAAAAATTACGGGTACATGTTGTTTGGACGGTTGTCTAGACAGAGGTTGGGAAAAGGGACAAATAAGCTCTTGAACTAACAAAAAACTTGCAAATCATTCCTTATATGGAAGGCTTTGTCCGGCCGTCATCATTTGAGAAGGTTCCCGGTAGAATTTTTTGATGAAATTTTTTGAGCTTCTTCTTCATTAAGTCTAGTTTACCCATACCAAATTCCAGATAAAAATTCAATCAGGAAGGCAGTGAAATGAATTTTTGAAAATAGCCACGCAGTTAAACAGCGCAGTATATTTCAGAAAATCATTTGAGTGTCTTCTCAGTTTTATTTTTTGCTGATATTTGATGTAGATAAACTAGACTTAATGAAGAAGATGCTCAAAACAAATCATCAAAAAATTCCATCGGGAACCGCCCCAAATGGCGATGGCCGGACAGAACCTCCTATGTAAGAGGTGATTTGCACTTTTTTGGTTAGTTTGAGAGCTTATTTGCCTCTTTTCCCTTCATTTTTTTGACAAAGTAAGACATGTGTTTCAATTTCATTATCAAAGGAGGGTTATCAAAGGAGGGGCACATGATCGAGAGGATACATGTGTTTCAATTTCGTTGTCTAGAAAATTGTCGGAAGAAGACGATGAATAGTAACTTTTATTTTTCAAATATGCCTGAAAGATTTAAAAAATATTAGGAGGTTCGTCTCGTCAAGGAGACCTCCAGACCCTTTTTCCAGGCAAAAATTTCAGCCAAAAATATCACCGGAAAAGAGATATTAACGAATTCATTTTTAAAATAATCCAAATAGAGACAAAAAATCCAAAGAGGAAGATGGTTTAGATGTCTCCTTGACCAGAAGCATCTCTCATTATTTTGTTTTATTTTTCCAGACACTTTTGAAAATCGAAATTATTGTTCATCGTTTTCCTTTGACGATTCTAACGGCATTAGGCATCTACCTCTCGTTGATAACATAATCGAAACACATGAACATAATCGAAACACATGTCATGTTTTGTTAATAAATGAACAATATGCCCATATCTGAAAATGACTCAAACTACAAGTACATTTTCCGTATTTTTCCCTTTTTTGTGTTTCATATCCCATTATAAAAATTAACCCATAAAACTTAGTCGTAAAGACATAATCACATAACAACTGGCATCACTACATCGGTACATATTTTTGAAGTGAAAGGAAAGAATAGTTGTAAGTTGTAACCATAAAAACCAATTAATCAGTAAAAGCTATTGAAGGAAAAACAAAATGAAACATTATACGATCAAACAGATTAAGTTATTCCCAAGTTTATTAAAATTTTAAACTGGTAATTCCAAGTACCGATTTGCAAAATCACAACAACAAAAACAAAAAAAACGGTATATTCAATCACAAGCCATGAAAGAGCAGAGATTGAAGAAGCAACCAACCTGATTGTTCAGGCTCATTGGAAGCTTGGATTTTCATTTCTTAATGCCCACGGAGAAGAAGTGGTGTTGCGTGGTGAAGTCTGAAGTTGGATCCTTTAGGCTTAACTCTTAAGTTTGCGCTGTTTTAAAATGTGATTGCCATGTGCACCCTTTTTATAGATTCTTTGTACTCCGGATGACTGTAGATTGTTTTTGTTGCATCAGTGCTTTTCATTTCTGTAATAAGTAATCAACCTTTTTGGCTTTGGTCACATGTATTTGAAATTTTGACATTTAAATCTTTGTCCCAAAAGATATTGGGATCGCCTAACATCAATAGATACATGATATCACCATCAAAAGGAAAAGAAATACTTCCAACTGTGCTTTAACACCTGATTGTGTCTCATCAATCAATATAATGTCGTCAACAAACATCATGCATCATAGTATATCGTCTTGAATTGATTTCGTAAGTTCATCCATGATTATGACAAATAAGAAAGGGTTCAGAGCCAATCATTGGTGAACTCCGATAGTAATAGGGAACACTCAATCCTCATACATATCCATGATGATGTTGGATATGTAACACAATTACATTTTGCTTAGTTTTTAACTAATACAAATATAAATGTAGTATATACATAGTATAAGTCGTAAATTCATAATATCAAAGTATTTCTAGGAAGAATTAAACCAACCAGGCTAATATTTGTTGCGGTGAGAAAATATTACAACAACCTTTCATTTCCTCATACAATACCTTAAAATACAGATTGAGTTGTTTGTAAAATATAGATTGATTAAAACATTGTTTGTTTAGAGAATGAATATATATATATATATATATATATAGACACACACACTGCACACACACTACAGGTACACATAGCCGTAAAGTTGTAGATTAATTAGTTAATCTGAACATTATTTTTTAATACTCTTGAGTGGAAGAGAAGGTATAAAAGTATGAAAGAGAAGATAAAAAGTAAAAAAAATAAAGGTAATTGAGTATTTTTAAAGGAAAAACTTACCAAAAATGAAAAGTGTAATAAACTTTTAAATACGGATCCATAAAACGAAAGTGTAGCAAACTTTAAACTAAAGTGTAAATACGCAACACTATTTCAATTCTTCTTGATACAACTATGGAGTATTTCAATTCTTTTGATATTTGCAAATGTTGTTTCTATCTTAAATGGATATCTAGTTATCAACAAACGTTACTTACTAAAGTTGTAGATCTACCAAGTCTCATGTATTTCGGTGGTTCTAGGGACAGTTTTATTGGGATCACGGCATGAAGGGAAAGCTGGCATAGTGGAGTTGGGGATATGTTAGGATGACGCAGTACTGCTGTATGGAATTCCTATCGGAAGCGTTCTTTTTTATTGCTTTTTCCTATTCTTGTGTTTTGTTTTATTGCCAGTTTTTCTTTGAAGTCGTTGTTGCTAGTTTAGTAAAGGGATTGAGAGTTTAGCTAAGTATTATGTTGTTAGAAGTTTGGGGATCTTTTTAAGTAGTTTTAGCTGGTTTAAAGTCGCTTCATGGTTAATGATTCGTGTTGCTTCTTCAGATGTGACTGATTCTGTCTAATTGGAGGGTTGCCAATCGTTGTGGGTGGAGTATACTCGTTGTTAGTGGTCTTTATGTGTTTGATGTAACAATCATATTTATAATGATATTAATATGAGGCGATGACGTGCACTTTGTCGTGAGGTGCACTCAAAGTAATAATACAATACAACACAAATACGTAGTATAGTGAAGTAAGGTTCGTATCCACAGGGAAAGGAATATTTTTCTTCTCACAGAAATAGATAAGTAACAATAAGGGGGGAGTTTATATTTGGTTGATGAACTTTAAATTATATTTAAACACGAAGATGAACGAGTTATGTGGTTTAATTAATGAGAAGAAGGCTTGATTTTGCTTTTATCCACTTTATGAAATGTTCGTCGATCCCGGTTATATCTTTAACTATCTTCCTCTCGAATACTCAATCGAGGAGTATATCCAATTCATCGAGGGTAGTTATTAATAACGAGACGCGTTCATTAATAAAACTTACTACCGAGTTAATATAGAACACGCGTCATATATTTACTCGATAGTAGCAATAAAATCAAGATGAAAACGATTGAGATTGATAACCTCAACACAAGCGGTTTATCGGTTTAATCAATATAATTAATTCCCCTTGGCTTATTAACCATGAGCGCATGCATTAACAACCCAAGTTTACTACCGTGAAAGGACCGAGTTAATAACAAGCGTATTAATCGACCGATTCTAGTATTAATTAATATATGAAACAATACTAGTTGATCCTTTAAGTATTGCTTAAAATATTAATATGTAATAGGAATAAGAATTAATTAATATTCAAGGAAGAAGATTAAAGAAAATAACTCACAACTTACAATTCATTAAGCTTCAAAGTAGCAAAACCAAGATGGAAGAGTTTAGCTCCTCATTTGGAGACTAAACATGAAGAAAATATAAAGAAATAACTTGTCTAAACTGAACTTAGAAGTATATAGGAATTGGTGTCTTTCTTGTGGAGGAAATGGGGTGTATTTATAGGCTTTTTAGGCCTGCAGGGTCGTGTACCCGATCGAGTTTTTAGCTCAACCGATCGGGTAAGGGTTAGTTTCCTCGAAACTGAAAATCTGGGGTCATACCCGATCGGGTATGTCGGCTACCCGATCGGGTATGGATACGCGATCGAGTTAGAAAATCCTCCTGCATGTTGCCTTGTTCCCGGATTTATCCGATTTGACTTTTCAGCAACTTACCCGATCGAGTATAGGGCATACTCGACCGGGTACACTACCAAAAATTAGAATCTTCATCTTTTCTTGAAATCTTTGCACCTTCCTTCCAATTGTGATGTTCACCAATGGTCCCTAGAGTGATCTTGGACCTGTTTGAGCTCAGAACCAACCTAATCTAAACCATTTACAAATATTTTACAAACTAAACTATTACATCAAAAGTGTGTAATTTCTAGAGTAACAATCACTCAAAACTGATCAAAAACACAATTATAAACACGGAAATAACATGAATGTCAACTCCCCCACACTTAGTTCCTTTACTCGACCTCGAGTAAAACCAAATGTTTATACAATGTTTATCACAAGATCATGAGTTCATAGAGAGGAAGAAATAAGAAACCAAAACCACCAAGTATAGTGAATGAAGTTACAAAACAACATTTCCTTGGGTTTAACGGTCTTCTATGCTTCTTATTTCTTCTTTTTCTCATCTTCTCTCTTTCTTCTTCTTCTTCTTCTTCTTCTTCAAGAGATATTGTCCTGCAAAAAAGAACAAATGTTTCTCTCATATCTCTCATTTTGCCTAGGAGCCTTTTCAGGTTTTCATCCTAGCATCTCTTTTCTTTTCCTTCCCTTACCACTCACTCATTATTTTTTTTTGTAAGCCCTTGTTGCTTAGATTGCCCTTTTGGGTTTTCAACCTAACTAGCATTATTTTTTTTTTTTTTGTGCGCAACTAATACAAGAAAATTAATGCTTAGTACAAGGTAAAAACAAAGGAGTGTACATACCAAAAGATGATCTTCCTCCCCCACACTTGAAGCATGGCACTATCCCTAGTGCCCGCCTTCTCCTCCGTAGTAGCCCCCTCCAAAGCCGCTCCCGTGCATGTCATCACCGCCCCCTTCTGTAACACCCCCATTTTTCCCACCAAAATAAAATAGTATTTTGAAATGAAAACATCTTTATTATAAAACATATTTAGAGTACAGCGGAAGTCTTTAATGGAAAAACAGGTGTGTCACCGCCACACTCAACCTATACATGATTGAGTGCACAGGCTATCCACCATTAATTCAAGTAGCCATCAGATAAAACTTAAAACAAGTTTATGGATTACAAATTTAAACAACAATAATTAATCAAACGTGTGCAACTAGCGGAACACTCGGGCAGCAAGTACATCAATCTTCATAATCATAATCATCTGTACAATAGAGCAAAGAGAAAAAGAGAAAAGAGACAAAAATTAGCTTTAGAGCTAAGTAAGATTCCACCCGAACCCGTAAAATAATATAATTTGGAAAATAGGTTTTTGTATATGTATATACATCGAAAAGTAGTCTCTCATATTTCCAAAATGGTTTAATGTCATAAAATAATTTCCACAATAGATAATATCATCCTTCAATTCCTTCAAAAGTAATACTTTAGATTCTTTTAAGAGTGGGCGAAACTCAAGATTCCTCGAGCCCAATGAGTCGTTGTTATATACGACTCATCCCGGAATTCCGGCTCCCACCGACCACCAATTGGAAGCTGAATTTCTACCTTAAGTGTGCACACCCTCTAAAAGGGATTCCAAGCCCTCCGAGTAGTAAGAAACCCAAGTAGGCAGGATGTTTTCTACCACCTACTCACAAGGGACATTGTCCAAGGGTAAATTAGGTAACTACTACTACGACCACCAAAGGATCTTTGATCCTCAAATAAAAGCCCGGGATGTCTACCGGAGTATGTCATTGCCGGACTGGTTACCGACCCAAATAAATTTCACCAAAAGTAGTAGTAGCCCTAACCACCCACGCCTCGTGTTTCTCTCGAGACGTAAGAATATATATTATGAAAACTTTAAGTTTTCCCCAAATCATTCTTGTCACATTTTCTCAAAAATATCCTTTGTAATAAATATAAATCCACCAATATTCTTTAATAAAAAGAATATACATATAATCATCCATAAAAGGTAATAATCCACCAATATTCATATAGTCAAAATATTCGACCCATGTCAAACATATAATTTCCAATTCATAAATAATTCACATAGTGCAAATATTGCATACATATAAGTACGAGGCAAAACATTTTGGTTGACATAGAACTTACCTTAAATTGCGATAATCTCCTTAATAAAATCTCTAGCTTGATCTTCACTTGAATTCTCCTTCTAATATTGATCAAAATTCTAAATCAATAACTATTCTATTATTTCGTTATTTCTTTTATATCCAACCTTTAATTACTTTAACTTCATAATTCCATTCTTTAAATATAAATATTAAATTAATAAATCTTACTAACTGTTTATTTCCAGTTCATTCTTATTATTTTCTTTAATTATAATAACCCAACTCGGTTTTTCTTAATTTGTTTGGTTAAATAGTTTACTAGTCCAATTATATTAACTTCATAATAATTTCATTATTTCGAATTTAAATAATCAATTTCAGTTCAAAATTCAGTTTACATAATTTATATAATTTATTTAATAACCCTTTTAATAATAACTTGACTTAGGCAATAATTCGAAATAATAATCATTAATGATAATCTAATCTCAATAACAACTTTAATTAGTTCAATAGTTTATTTATACTAACTAACCCAATTAAATTAATTTATCCAATCCTCCAGTTTTATTTATTTGACTCACTAATTTAATTGAACTAACTAAATCAAATAAATAAGTTTAATTATATCAATATAGCTAAATACGTTAATCTAATTCAATTAAGTCCAATAATCAAATTCTAATCTCGTTTTAATTTTCTATTTTTAATATAAAGTCCAGAAATGTTATCAAGTCTATAAATTAACTAATTTATCCATTAAACTAATTGATTTAGTTAAACTAGTTCAATGAAGTCAATTAACTAACTTATTAAGTACACATTACTTAACTAATTTGTTTATATTCATCAACTAATTTTTTATGAGTTCAAATATTTTAATAATTTATATGGAGTCCAAATCACTAATAATCAAGGATAATAATTATTAATTTAATCACGCTAATTTAATTAGTCAACTAATTCAATAATTTATATATTAAGTCCAAATATAGTCATTCATTTATACTAGATAATCCAACTTTATTTTCTTTTCCTTATTTTATTACAAACATCATTTTTAGTCCAGAACATTATTTTCAATCTTAGTGATTTATTTATTTCACCATTAATATCAAAATTTCCTTATTTAATTACTTAACTAGTTTATATGGCTCAATTAAATTAAATAACTTAATCATCACTTTTATAAATTACTAATCATCCATAACTATAGTTTGGGTCTATACTTGACCTAGGTTGTCCAGATATTTATTTTAGAATTATTTCCTTTATTTATTCACTTAATTTCATATATCTATTAACCGGTTTAATTACAATTAAATATGCTAATTATAATTTTTATTAATTATAAATGGTCCCAAACGTCCTAGTTAGTCATATATTTAATCTAGCTTGCTCCCATATTTATTTCATAATTATTTTCGTCATTTAGTTAATTATTTACTAAATGTGTACAACTTGGCCCAATTACAATTAAATCAATTAAAAATAGTTACAAATATTATTTTTCAATTATTATTGGTCCGAATATGTATTTTTATACCAGGTATTTAATTTATATTTTTCCAGATTTTATTTATTTCATTTACTATTTTATTTTTAATTTTTTATTGAAAACGGGCCGAACCGGCCCAAATTCGCGACCCGGCCCAAGAAGACTGGGTTGTCTCCTTCCCAGCTCTTCTCCAGGTCGCGATTCCGGCGACCGGAATCCCGTAAACTCCGGCGAGCGATAACTTTACTTACAGGTAACGGATTTCGACGATTCAAGTTGCAAAATGATCCTCACGTCGAGGAGAAGCTCCGCCACCCCTATCTACGTCAAAATCGTGTCTTTTCTGAAGACCCGTTTCCACGGCTTGCAACTCCGGCGACCTCTAGGATGCTCCGGTGACTACGAATCGGTCTGGAATTTATTGGGAAGTATTCCTAGACCTCTCACGACCCTCCTCTCTTGCTTATAGGCAATTTCTTACGTAAATATATATATGTGTACATTTCCGGCGAGTAAGTATATATATATTTGCTCTACTCGTTTTCTTCAGTTTTGTAGTGATTTAGAATGTCAATGGAGCTGTATTTATAGTTGTAGATCAACCCTTATGGAGCTGGACGAGTTGTGTGAATTATTGTGAATTATTATGATAAGATATATACCTATTCATAATTCAATGTATACACATAATATTGTAGGTGTGAAGTCATGAAGCTGTTTCCTGGCATGTGAAGATGTCCTCCAGATCTTTGCTATTATTTTTTTATCAAAATATGTACTCCGTATTAATATGTGTGTGTTTATATGTGTGTGTTTTTGTTGTAGTATATATATATATATATATATATGTATGTACGTACTATATATATATTACTTATATGTAGTTATATATATAGTATATTACTTATATATATACTTATAGTTTATCCATTTGTATTATATTTCTTTTATTTCATTAATGTTTATAAAGTTACTAGTAATTATTTTATTTATTTCCATTTACTCTGACAGATATATTTTATCTGATTTATTTTTATTTTATTTTATTTTTCTGATGCCACATAAGTGTTTAATTCTATTGCATGTAGTGTGCGTATATTTTTATACACCAAGTATAATAAAAATATATTTTGGTATTACTTTCATTTGATTGATCAGATATAACTTATCTGATTTGTTTATTTATTTTTATTTCAAATTTCCAAGGTATCACATTCTACCCTCCTTAAAGAATGCTTCGTCCTCGAAGCATAAACTAAGACAAGAATTGAGTATGAAGATGAAGTATTACAGGTTTATAAGATATTACAACCTGCCCCCCTAAAAGAAAGGTTACGTCCTCGTAACCGAATATTTACCTTAATTGAAAAGTTCAGGATACCGTTTACGCATATCCTCTTCTGTCTCCCATGTTGCATTCTCGGTCAAATGGTTTGACCAAAGTACTTTTACCATCTTAACTGTCTTCTTCCTTGTCTCTCGGGTCTTAGTATCGAGAATCTCTATGGGTTTTTCTTCGTAGGATAATGTCTCATCCATTTCAATCACCTAATAATATAACGGTTAACTTATATTCTTTTCAATTTACGTTTGGCTCATGTTAAGTCTAGGATTTCTTACCTCCGGATTGATGATATGTGACTCATCTCGAACATACTTCTTTAATTGTGATACGTGAAAGACGTTATGTACCTAGCATATATCGGTATGTTAAGAATGTATTTTAATCGTAGAGAAGTATTTGATTTCAAATCGGTTGTTACCTTATCCAACTCCGTGGGTAGAGCTAATCGATATGCCACTTTTCCCACCTTCTCTAGGATGTCATAGGGTCCGATGAATCTCGGGCTTAGTTTCCCTTTCTTCCCGAACCTCATTACACCCCTTGTAGGAGAGACTTTGAGTAGAACTTTCTCCCCTAGTTCGAATTCAGCTGGTTTCCTCCCAAGATCGGCATATGATTTCTGTCGGTCTTGGGCAGCCTTCATCCTTTCTTGGATAACTTTGATTTTCTCAATAGTATCTTGCAAGTATTGTGGTCCTAGAACCACCTGATCGACCATGTCACCCCAACATAAGGGACTCCTACACTTTTGACCATATAGAGCTTCGTATGGGGCCATTCCGATGCTAGCATGGTAACTGTTATTGTACGAAAACTCTACCAAGTCTAGGTGTTCATCCCATGATCCTTGCAAATCAAGAACACATGCCCTCAACATGTCTTCTAATGTTTGGATTGTTCTTTCGGTCTGTCCGTCCGTGGTTGGATGGAAAGCAGTACTTAACTTCAATTTTGTTCCCATAGCCGTTTGTAATTCTTTCCAAAATTGGGATAAGAATCGTGAATCTCGGTCCGATACGATGTCTTGAGGTACTCCGTGGTGTTTGACCACGTGTTTGACATAGGCTTTAGCCAGTTTCTCCATGCTCCAGGTTTCATTCATAGGAATGAACCTTGCAGTTTTGGTCAATCTATCCACTACCACCCAAATTTTATCTTTCCCGGACTTTGTTAAAGGTAAACCCCCGACAAAGTCCATTGAGATTGAATCCCATTTCCATGTTGGTACTTCCAAGGGTTGCACGAGTCCCTTGGGTTTGCATCTCTCCGCTTTGACTTTTTGGCAGTTCAAACATCGGGATACAAATTCAGCTACTTCTTTCTTCATTCCCGGCCACCAAAAGTTCTGTTTGAGGTCTTTGTATAGTTTGTCTCCCCCGGGATGTACCGAGTAGGGCGTGTTGTGTCCCTCCTCCATGATTTGTTTTTTAATATCTGCACACTTCAGTGGAACACACCACCTTCCCTTGTATCGGATGCTCCCATCTTCATGTACCTTAAATGGTCCGTTGACGCCATCTTTCATTCCTTCCTTGATTCTTTCGAGCTTTACATCTCCCGGTTGTCCGTTCTTGATTTCGTCAAAGATAGATGGTATAACAGTCATAGAACATAACTGTATTTCACCATCTACTTCGCCATATTGCTTTACTTCCAAGCTCAATCTTTGGAAGTCTCGGAATAGTTCTTCTGGTAATATCCATGTTGCTCGGCATGAGTGCTCAGATTTCCGGCTCAAAGCATCCGCCACCACGTTAGCTTTTCCCTCGTGGTATTGGATTTCTAGATCGTAATCATTGATAAGCTCGAGCCATCTTCTTTGCCTCATGTTAAGCTCTTTTTGAGTGAATATGTACTTCAAGCTTTTGTGGTCAGTGTATATCTTACAATGTGCTCCGTATAGGTAATGTCTCCAGATTTTCAAAGCAAACACTACTGCAGCTAACTCCAGGTCATGGGTAGGATAATTGACTTCATGCACCTTTAGTTGTCTTGATGCATAAGCCACCACTTTCCTATTTTGCATTAGCACACACCCCAACCCCTTTTTGGAGGCATCACTATAAATATCAAATCCCTCCGTCCCTGACGGTAGTGTCAAGACCGGTGCAGTTGTGAGTCTTTTCTTCAACTCTTGGAATGCTGCTTCACAATCTTCATTCCATTGGAACTTGGTTGTCTTCTTTGTCAGATTGGTTAGCGGTCTTGCTATCTTGGAGAAATCTTTAACAAATCTCCTATAGTATCCCGCTAGACCCAAGAAACTTCTTACCTCTGTGACCGAGGTAGGTGCACGCCATTCAACCACCGCTTCAATCTTCGATGGATCTACGGATACGCCTTCCTGGGTGATGATGTGACCCAAGAACGCTACCCGATCCTGCCAGAAGTCACACTTTGAGAGTTTGGCATACAACTGGTTCTCTCTCAAAGTTTGTAACGTGAGTCTCAAGTGTTTCTCGTGATCCTCCGGGGTTTTTGAATACACAAGAATATCATCGATGAATACCACCACAAATGTATCAAGATAAGGTCGGAATACACGGTTCATTAAGTCCATGAATACCGCCGGTGCATTTGTTAAACCAAACGGCATCACAGTGAACTCGTAGTGTCCATACCTCGTGCGGAATGCTGTTTTTGGTACATCTTTTTCGGATATTCTCACTTGATGATATCCAGAGCGCAAGTCTATCTTAGAGAATGTGCTAGCCCCCTTCAATTGATCAAACAAGTCGTCAATTCGGGGCAATGGATACTTGTTCTTGATAGTTGCTTGATTCAACTCTCGGTAATCGATGCATAGCCTTAGACTCCCATCTTTCTTTTTGACAAATAAGACCGGAGCGCCCCAAGGTGAGACACTCGGTCTTATGTACCCCTTCTCTAACAACTCCTCTAGTTGTTCCTTCAGCTCCTGCATTTCTTTCGGTGCCATCCGGTAAGGTGCTTTTGAAATTGGCGCGGTTCCGGGCATCAACTCAATTGAGAATTCAACTTCTCTCTCGGGTGGCATCCCTGGAATCTCTTCCGGAAATACATCCGGAAATTCATTGACTACGGCAATTTGGTCAATGTTTGGCTCCCCTGTATTCACCTCTTTCATAAAGCACAGGTATGCTTCATACCCCTTTCGGATATGTCGCCTTAATTGTTGCATAGTCATCAGCCTCATACTAGGCTTGGATGTGATTGCTTTGTAAGATATTCGCTTCCCATTTGGACCCTTCAAGATCACCTTCTGTTCATCACAGAGGATCCTGACTTTGTATTTCCCCAACCAATCCATGCCCAGCACTATGTCTATATCTTTTAAGTCAAATTGGATTAAATCTCCAGGTAGGTTGGATTCGGATATGAGTATGGAAATGTTGGAGTATACATTTCCACAAGTTATGAATTTATCTGAGGCAGTTCTTACATTCAAGTCTATTCTAGCCGTTGGTTCAATCTTCAATTTCTTAACGAAACTAGAAGATATGAAACTGTGAGAAGCACCAGAATCAAATAGAACATAAGCAGGCTCAGAATTTACAAGGAATGTACCTGAAACCACATCATTAGCATTGGCTTGGGCCTGATTCATCACCATGATTCGCCCTTGGTTCGGACGGTTGCCGTTGTTTCCGCCGTTGCCATTGTTCCCGCCATTGCCATTGCCACGATTATTCTCCCCTCCTCCTCGAGGGTTGCGGTTGTTGTTGTTGGCGGCGGCATTGTTGTTGTTATTTTGTCCTCCATTTGGCCCAGCTTGGTTCATATCTGGCCTTCCTCCATCACGGTATTGCACCTGGTGCACTGGTGCCCCATTGGTCTTTGAGAGACACTCGAAGGTTCGGTGCCCTAGCTTCCCACAATTGAAATATTTTGTCAGGCTTCCATCGCAATTAACACCAGGATGATCTCTCCCGCACCTCTTGCAGTAGAAGTGTCTATCTCTGGGAGAAACTCTTCGATCATTTTGTTGGTTTTGACCGTGGAAATTTCTTCCACCTTGGTCATCTCTCCTCCTCCTCCCTTCTTGTTGCTGTGTAGGTGGGTGCACTCTGACCCTCTTTTCTCCTCGACCTCCATCTTCGTCCCTCTTCATCTTCTGGTTCCTCTCTCTTTGTAGTTGCTGAACTCGATAGTGAACTGCAACTCTATCATAAGCTTCAGTCAGAGTTTGGCAACCCAAAACAGCGACGATTTTCTGCGTATCATAGTTTAATCCGTAGATAAATTTCTCAACTTTGGTGCTTTCATCAGGCACTATTGTTTTCGCAAATGGCGCAAGGTCCACGAATTTATTGTGATATTCCTGGACACTCATGCCCATCTGTTTCAAATGTATGAATTCATCACGCATGGTGGCCTGAACGTGTGCAGGATAAAAACGTTTCCTCATGGCAATCTTGTTAGTCTCCAATTTTGATAGATTTTGATGATGCCACTATACTAAACAAATGTACATTGAGTCTTATTTTCAGAAGTAACATTTAAATTTAAATCATAAGTGACAAAAATAAATGTACAATCTTTAAGATTAATGATATATTACCGGATACATAAAAATGCAATAAGGTAACTTTTTACCTTCATAGGATATTTAAATCCTACCGACATATATCATTTTACTCAAAGATTAAATATAGGTCACATTTGAGATGCTCGAATACATTGAATATTGATTGGAAGACAAAAATTAAATACACGGTCCTACAGCATGGGAGGACTTCTTGGAGTGAAGCTGCAGCGGCTGAAGACACACCCATACCGCAGCCCAATCATTCAAGACAGAAAACAAAAAGATTAAAAGCTCCTGCACAAGAAGACAAATGTACAATTCGTCCTTGCCAGACCCTCAACGCACAAGATTAATCCATCTCAACCAACGGATGAGATTGATCAACCATGAAGGCCTATAAATATAGGTAGAAGCATGAATTCAAAAAACAAGCTTGAGCATCCTAAGTGGAGAAATACTTTCATCAAAGCATATACGAGATATCTAGCAAAAGAGAAAGTGCAAACTCAACTTTACTCTCTGCTTAGCCTCATGCTTCACTAAGCTCTTAGATTAGATCAATACTTTTACATTTTTAGAGCTTAGTTCATAGTTGAAGGTTAGAACTTTCTTGTAACATTTCACAAGTGGTTGTAAACACTTAGGAGAACAGTTGTTCGGATCCTAAAGTGTAGTTAGATAGATAGAGTACCTTTTGATCCCCACTGGATCAATTGAGAAAAGTCTAAGGACTGAGTAACTTTGAGTGGTGTTATACTCATTGTGAAAAAACCTTCAATCTAGGCCTAAGAGTTGTAAAGGCTAGATTGGCACTAAGTGTATTGGGCTGAATACTTTAGTGGAAATCCATTTGAAAGAGAATGGGACTGGACGTAGGAGGATTACACCACCTCTGAACCAGGATACATCGTGTGTTGATTTCACTTCATTCAACAAAACACACACCCAGCACTTCTCGTATAAAGATTGTAGTTTGCCAGCAGCATCTTAAGCAGTTGTCTTAATTGACCCAACTGCTTATCCTTCTGCTTAATTACTCACTCTCTTTGAGGCTATCTCCACACAGTTCACTTGCTAAAGCATTACCAAAAAGGTTGTTCTATCAAGTTCTCGGAAATTCACTTTCAAAGTATAGCAGGTGCCTCAGCAGTCTCCTCAGTACCACCCAACTGCTGAGCCCCCTGCTCACATTCATATATTTCCTTTAAACAACTCAACATCACCAGATCCTCATAACATCATCACACGAAGTTTTGCTTAAAAGGATCTCTGAAAATCTGCTTATAACCTAAGCAGGTGGCTCAGCAGTTCCCTTTGTACCACCCAACTGCCAAGACCACTGCTCCAGTTAAACTTTATCTTAACCTTACTTAAGTACCTTTTCAGACATCTTTCTTGCGTTCTAAACAACGTTTCGTCATCACTCTCATCATAAAGTCAATATTTCTTTAGCAGTTACCTCAGCAGGTTCCTGCTACCTAGTCAACTGCTAAGCTAACTGCCAAGCCAACTGCTAGCTATCTAAGTCCAATCTTCCCAGAATTAGAAAGCGGTCAAACACTCATTACATAAAGGGTAAAGACTTCCGCTGTGCATCTATTAATCTCTCAAAAGATTATAGATCAATTCATCTAGAGGGAAAAACTTCAAAAATTGAAAAAGATTTAAAAGTCTATTCACCCCCCCCCCCCCCTCTAGACTTTTACCCTATCCGGGACCATCAAGTGGTATCAGAGCTGAGTGTTCCTAGAGTCAGTTTCTGACTAATTTGAACTAAAGATCCAAACCACTCTACCTCCCAAACACTTTCTAAAAATGGACAGTCAGTTAGCCAAGAATCTTTTGTTCAACTTGAACAAATTTGATGACTGGAAAATAAGGATGAAAGCACATCTCAGTGCCTTACATGATGAGATGCTTGAAGTAATTACTGATGGACCTATCAAAATAATGAAGGTCATCACATCCAGAACCACGGAAGGGGCAGATGATGTATACATTCCAAAACCCAAGATGGAATGGACAACTGAGGACAGGAAGAGAAACAATCTTGACAACATTGCCAAGGACATTCTCTTCAAATCTGTTGATGAATCTATATTTCCCAGAATCAGGAAATGCGAAACTGCCAAAGATGTCTGGGATGAGCTAACAAAGATTGGAGCAGGGGATGAACAGGAGAAGGACAATAAATTAACCATAGCCCTCAAGAAATTTGAGGATTTCAAAATGCTGTCATCTGAATCTATCCATGAGATGGAATCCAGATTCCTGAAGATTGTGGCGGAGATCTCTGACCTTGGGAAGGAACTTTCTCAAAAGGAAATTTCCCTTAAAATCTTGAGAGGCCTGCCATCAAAATGGGACATGAAGGTAACTGCTATGAGAGATAGCAGAGATCTCAGAACTCTGTCAACTGACAAACTCTTTAGTGATCTCAAGGCCTATGAATTTGAAATGAGGGAGATCAAAGAAGAGAAGGAAGATGAATACAAGACACTAGCTCTAGTGTCTGAGCCAAGCACTTCAAAATCTGCTGAAAAATCCCTCAATAATCTCCTCACTGACGAGCAGTTTGCTATGTTTGTAAGGAAATTTAAAAGATTCATGAAGGAGGGAACTGCTCCAAAGAAAGCATACAACCAGCCACCTAGAAGACAAGGGAGACCTCAATCCAGTGAGGAAACTGTTCTGTGCTACAACTGTAGACAGCCAGGACATTACAAAAATGAATGCCCTCTGCCCTTAGCCCAGAAGTATCAAGGGCAGCAGGGGACTGGTCCCAAAGCTAGTTACAAGAGGGACTTCAAAAGCAAAAGACAAGCTTTTGTAAGTGAAAAGAAAAAGGAGGAACCCCAATCTGAAGATGAAAGCAGCTCAAGCAATGAAAGCTCTTCATCTGAAAGCTCAGAGGAAGCACTTCTATGCCTGGGATCCTGGCAGGTGGCTGAAGAAGGCGGCAGCTGGCTCACTGAAGAAAGCAGCAGATGGCTCAGTAAAGATGATGAATGCAGTTGGCTCACTTTCTGGTCCAACATACGTGGAATCTCAACACGTGGCATATGTCATCTGACTCTCTCATATCAAGAATTCTAAACAGGTACCCTTCACATTCACAAACCATCCAACATCTACCCAACTTTGAGCCCTCTGTTGCAAGTGTGAACGGAGTAAATGCTACGCGTGTCCAGCCGTTCTCTCTAACGGCTATATTCCAACGACTAGTTCCCGATAACCTATAAATACTCCCTCCGTACATTCCCCTTCACACTTTTCACTTTGTGATCTCTTTCTACCTATTTCAAAGCTCTCAAATTCACTCTAAGCATTCTGAAAAGCTCTATTACACCCAACCACCGCAAACCATTCCATTCTCCATATACACCCAAATGGCCTCCCTTGTCCAAATTTCCAAATCCATCTTCACCGGGTCCATCCTAAACACTCCAAGAATTCTTGAGAAAGCAGAGAACAAGGATCTCATGAGGGAACTTCTCAGAAAACTAGAAACAACAGGACTCATGAAAATGGCCACCTTTCCTTACCCCTGTTTCTACCCCGAGGTAGTAGCAGAGTTCTACACCAACTCCACACCTGAGACGTTGAAATCTGTAGTGATGGGGTTCGAGGTAGAAATAAAAGAAGAAGACATAAAGGAAATGCTTTCTCTACCTGGGGATGAAGCCAGAAACGTCAATGACATCACCCTTGAAGAGCAAAGCTTCAAAGAAATTGTATTCCTCCCAAAGGCTCAACACCTTAACACTCTAAAGGTAAAGAAGGGCATGCTGGTACCAGAATATTCTCTTCTGATGGACATCCTATACAAATGCATTGACAACAGAACAACTGCATTGGATGAAATAAATGCACAAAGGGAACTTCCACTAGCAGCCATCATCTCTGGCTCCCCACACAACTGGTCTCGGTATGTGTACAACGAGATACTGAAGTATGTAAACAAGTCACACAAGGGACGAGGAAAGGATGGAAGCCTACCATTGCTAGGGTATGGGTTCTTGATTGGAGAACTCCTAAGAAGGAAGGGGATAGTAGGGGAAATCAAGGAAGAAACCAACTGGAGGAAATTCCTCCACCAAACCTCCAAAGCTGGTGCTCCACAAATACCAAAGACAGACCCTTCCTTTGTCTCCAACGAACTCCTCTTGGTATCCTTCAAAGTTGATACCAAGACAGCCAAAAGACTACGCTCAGGGTGTCAAGGCCCTAAATCCAAGAAGCAAAGAAAAACAACAAGGAATCTGCAAGACGAGCTTGACGAGGCGGCCTCAGTCATCCAAGAAAAAGAAGCAGTGGCCTCTCCTTTAACCATCATACAAGAAGAAGCAGAGTCCTCTTCCAGCTCATCAAATGGAAGCAACAGCTCTGCTCTCCCTCTCTCTGTTCTGATTCCCAGAATAACTAAGCAAGGAGAGCAGGTGACTCTTTCATCCCCAGTAGCGAACTCACCCCAGATAACTCCACTAGAAGAAGAGCAGGAGACTCAACAAGGAGAGCAGATGGCTCCTCCAGAGACAGAACAGCCAACTCAACTCAACAAACGAATGGCTCCACCTTCACCAACTCCTCTGCAAAAATTAGAGGCTGAATGGGCTAGAGTCAAAGCTTGGAGAGAATGGAAACTCTCCAAAATTCTCCACCAAGCCAGGACCCTAACAAAATTCATCAGTGAAGAGTACTTTGCTCTCACATGGCTTGGAACTGAAGACATAGCCAAAGCCACAAATCTTCACCAGATGAATCTGGTCTATCTCACAAAGAAGAGGCAGCTGACTGATGAATCACCAGAGGAGCACTCCGAGGATACAAATGATGATGGTAATTCTGATGATGATGATGACAATCACTCTGGTCCAAATAAACCTCCACAGAATAGAGGTAAGCAAATCATCTCTTCTTCCTCTTCTAG